GCAACAGTGAGCTCCATTTGGGCATCTGTGTCTCTAAGATGGGAAGTGAGACAGATAAAAATAGAAGAGGATCATGCACACGTACTGAGCTAAAGTGAGCACAAGAAACACACAGGACGATCCTTTGTTTCTGCTGAGGCCACAGTGACAGAGAGACAGAGAGAGAGAGAGAGTGTGTGTGTGTGTGTGTGTGTGTGGGTTGTCTGTCTGGGAGGAAAGAGTTTTTGTGTGGAGAGGCTGTCAATTTGTGTGTAGTGGTAAAAAGCCATAAAGAGACCATAAAAACATTTAAAGGCATACTAAACTGAGTCCTCTGGGCTTTCCTCCTCTCTTGTGTGTGTGAGTTTGTGTGTGTGTGTGTGTGTGTGTGTGTGTGTGTGTGTGTGTGTGTGCGTGCGTGCGTCTCTGTGGGTCTGTATACAACATTTCTGAAGCATCACTCTGAGCTGTTTCTTTCTCGCTGGATGGGTCTCTCATCTATGCACTTCATGTGTTATGAAAAAGCCTTAATTGAACTGATTGTTTTCAGTTCGTTTTTACAAACTAAAAAACATAATGTCACTGAATTCATACAGAGACATTATGAGGCATATATGTGTGTTTATGCAGAGAAGATGCTCATCATGTGACGCTGTGTGTTACCTACCAGACTGTCCACACCGCCCAGCGTGTGATTGGCGTTGTACAGGGAGTAGGTCAACTGGTACACACCATCATTGGTCTCACTGTTGCCATAGAAACCCACACCCACTGCGACGCTGTGGAGAGAAGAGGCATGGAGGGACAGGTGAGCCTTTGATAAATTAATGAGAGGAACAGAGTACAACAGTAGCTTGCAAATTCTACATGTCCAAGGTGATGTCCTTTTCTGTCACTGAAGTCAAAGCCATTATTAGAACATTTGCTGAATTAAAAACATTAAACAACCTCAAAGTACTGATTTTACTTCTGTACTAAAACACTGCTGTGGAAATATACCACCTACAAGGAGTGCGGCTCAACAGGAAACAACACCTACACAACATTTAATGAATATTTCATGAATTCATTTTCATCCTGGCATTTAGGCATTATCTTAAAGCAGAATCATCGATTTACCCATCAACCAGGACTTTTGGGAAAACAGGAAGGTAATGAGGCAGGAACAATCTGGGACAATCCCTGACAGAAGGTAGAACTGTGAGTACATATGTTAAACAGCATGATTGACTGTGTATTGGAGAGGCGGAGTTGTTGTGTGTGTGTCTTGGGGGGAGCATCTTGGAGACTTGAAGGTTGTGAGAGAGGTGATATCAGATTAATTTTGTTTGCACTATGACTAACTCAAAGTCGGACTTTCTTCATTTACAGTACTTAAAATACTGATAGAATATTGTTCAAAGAAATGCATAAAGATAAGTACACTGTCTTCTGCGTGCAGCAAGCCTACTTTTTGATGGACATGTTTATCAAAACCTCAAAACAGAATGGTTTACTACAGCAGGGAAAACAAACATACTGTATCCATAGAGCAATACAGTAACGCTGTCAGAAACTGAATTTCTGTGTTGACTTATGTAAACAACACTCTTTTAACCAGAAATTATATAATACCGGGTTTTGGGATATGTGTAATTTGGAATAGTTTTTCATAGATTCAGTCATGCAAGGATTTCATTTGTTCAGCTGGAGCATCAGCACCAACAAAATAACCACCGACATAAACACAAACTCTTTAAGTCGTCTCTCTGAGCTTTGGTTCTCCCCAAAGTGCTGTCATATTGTGCTGCCATATGAATAGATTTGAAAGCAGCTACACTCAATCTTTCTCTACATAAACGCCACAAATAAGTTTGATGTAGCAACATTACTCTGAAGGCACAAGAACCTTCTGCAAACAGGATGATGCCCATGCTACATTAGCAAAGCTGACATGTCTGCTGGAGGAAACTCTTTTATACCCATAGTCATCAGTTCATTAGTGCACGTAGCTGAGCTAGTGCGATCAAATACAACAGCCCTGTAGAAAATCCTACTTCTATGAGGTATGTAATGTCCAAAGGTGGAGCTGTAGTTTGTGGAGCCGTGGAATTATATGAAAAGGTGTTTCTATAATTTTGTCCGCCGTGTTTCAGTATGACACAATACAGTACAAGCAGCACAATCTGTCACCTGCGAAATGACCCCAAAGATCCAATACCTTGGACTCACAAAAACTAAATATGAGCTTCATTAATGCAGAGCATGCTGTATAGGATTACTTTGGCTGTAGCTTCCTCAAGCATTATCTACTATCTCTTTATCTGATAATCAATGTTTGTTTATATGAAACTGGGAGGAATAGTGCTTAACTGGAACCCATTACACACCCTAGAGTTGAGCGGATACAGTATAGGGCTATTTGACGCAATTATTTATAATGAATCAATATTTTATGACCTCATTAAGTCTACAAGGTTTCATGAGTATGGATGGCTCTTCATTTATCTAATAAACCATAAAACATCAGTACAGCTTTCTGGAACCTGTCCTTCTGTAAAGAACGAGTCCATAGATCATCAGTGCAAGCAGCTTATTACGAGACATAGTTACCTTGTCATTGTTAGGCGACCTCTAGTGGCTGTAGTAATTACGAGAGGAGCAAAGGGGGAAGTTAGGTGACAGGTTGAGGTTTGGGGTAGACCATTTATCATTACTGTTACTTTTAGCTAGCTATTGCCTTTAATGTTAGCTAGCTACTTTAAACGCTTATACCTTCTTTTTAGCCATCTACTTAAAACATGTATTCATTACTTTTATCTAACTACTTGGACTGTTTATCCAATACTTTTAACTGTTTATTTTAACCATCATTTAGTTTTGAACTGTTTATCTGTTAGTTTTGCCTTCTATCATGTTAAGCTAACTTTCACAGCTTTCTTTGTGTTTTCACAGGCCCGCACAGTGTTCAGGTGTAACAGCTGACTAAACATGAAAATATGTTTTTCGCATTCAAATTGTGATTTGTATTTTTCCAGATTAGTTCAACTACTCAACAATCTTTCCATGTTTCCCTGAGCAACTGCAAAAGTACCCCCTGCGCTTAAAAGACCTGGTTGAGAATCACAGGAATAAACCACGACTACGCCATGGTAAAATGTGCCACAGATAAAGGCCAGGGGCAGGTCAGGCCAGTACTAAAGGGAACGTAAGCAGGAGTCAGGATAATTGAGACTTAGAGCATTGTCCTTAACCTCGTGGCTTCCCCCTTGAATCCTCCATGATGCTCCGGATAAGCATTAAGCAGAAAAGAGAGACTATAAATCTACGGTCAACGACGCTCCCGGCAACACTCGCCTGGAATCGCTAAATTCTGGCAGAGTTAGTGTGGCAGTGGATGTTGAGTGCAGGTGGAGCAGAGCAGCAGGGGCTATTTTCCTGATTAGTACAACAAGAATAGAGTCTCATTAACCGAACCCCTGCAAGTAAACCTCCCGCTTGGCGGGTTTTAACACAACCCTCAGGGAGAGACATGAAGAAAAGGTAGGAGGAGATAAAGCAAAGGCAGAGAATGCATGAATAAAATCATCAGTTTGGAGAGAGGCAGGAAGTGACAGTTACAGACAGACCAAAAGAGACGGCCTGACAGTGAACCAAGCTGTATACTGTAGCCATATTTTATATGGACAGACAGGGAGATGGATGGCTTATAACAACTAATGCAACACATAAGCAGAGAGCAGGGAACAGGACAAACACGGCAAGGTAAAAGAAAACAAAAAGAGAATATGCCTTGCTTCATGTGCCCACATTAAACAGTAACCCACTGATGATGACGCATATACTTTTTTTGTCTGGATTGTTTTGTTTTTTTTTGTTCCCCACCAAAAAGCATCACCTAGGAAAGAAAACATACCACAGAGTCGCTCCTCTTTTATCTCTCATCACAGATCTTCTAACGCCACAGAAGCAGAAAAATGTATTAAGTAAAAGTAGCCCGGAGAAACATCGACTTCTTTGAACTCGTGCAAATATTTTAAGAGCAGAATCAAATTTTTTTTTTTTTTTTAAGAAAGAAACTGGGAGGACAGAGAGGCATGTGTAAAGAGAGAGAATATCTGTCTTTTTCTATCCCTCCTTCACTCCATCAGTCCACCCAGTTCCCTTTGTGCTACTCCTTGAAATATCCATGGTCTAATTCAAAGAGAGAGAATGTCATAGATTTGAGTTGGCATGCACTGAGCAAAAGTCCAAACTGTCATGTTGATAAATGACAAAGTAGATAAAAGACAGTGAAGGGAATTTAGAAAAAAGGAACCTTCAGCCTGCAGCAGAAAAAGGCCTTGGGCTACTTTAAATAGACTCGGACACATTTGAATATTTGAGGTTTTCCCCCAAAATGGCAGCGATGACTCGCCTGAGATGACAAATATAGACAGGAGAATTTATATTTTTTTCCCTGTCCTCCTCAAGTCCCAGTGAGGGCCACCTCAAAAATCCTCTTAATATGCAGCGGGCCTATAATATAAAACACAAATAGCTCCTTTCTGAATTTTTCATGTACGCATCTCTTGTTTTCAGAGCTAGACAATTTCCAAAATAACCATTTAAGGCCTGAGAAGCACTAAAAACAAGGTTATAAATTGTCAGTTACTAAAAATAGATGACCCCAAAAAACGGTGAACGAGGGCTTTAAAAGACTACTGCTGGTTCATTTTTATTGCTGCTTCTGTGCCAAAGCATTTCTGTGTTGAATCTGATGTAGTGGATACACTGATATAATGTAAAAAGGGCAGCTTATCTCTATTCCTTTTCTTGTGCACTCCGTTCTCATTTCTACTTTCTGACTGGCATCAGATACCACTAAATAAACATTAAATACAAATAAATATTTTAAGTGTCTTGGAAAGTAGAGTAACTTTCCCTTTCTGCATTTTTTTTTTTGACATAATGTGCCTTTGTGGTTTTGGATACCATGGGACAGTCAAAGTTTGGCCACTATCATTAATCCTTGATGAGTTCAACGTTTTGCTTTCCATTAT